TAGTTGCTGAGGAAGTCCCCAGTAAGGGACGAAACGTTCAACAAGATCAAATAAATTTGTTCATCAAAATTTATTAACTGTCTTCAATTTTCCCTTTGAAACTCATGTATATAAATATACTGTTGGGACAAGAATATTGATTATTAATTTAACAAAATATATTTTATGCATTCTTTACATTTTATACTAATTTCTAAATGTTTTATACTTTTAGTTAATTCTTATTACTACAAATATAGATTTATCACCAAACTAAAGAAAAAAATTGCAAGAAAATATTATATTGCAAGAAAAAAAGATGAAGGAGGTTAAAGAAAAATTAGAAAGAATACCTTTAATACAATCTATTAAACAAGTATATGAACAAATTATTTTTGATGATGATGATGATGAAGAAGAAGAAGAGAAATCGTCTAATTAAATGAAATATCTGCAATCTAAATCTAAATATGTTTATACGGAACCTGTAAAATCTGCGAAAACCATAGATTCAAAGAAATTGGATAAAATAGCAGAAGAAATATTAGACCATAAATTTACTTTAACGGCGGAAAGATTACAGGATTTGCATGAATTACTTGTAGCTCAACCTTCAGAAGATACAAAAGCGGAATATCCACCTGGTTTAAAAGTTAAACTAATGCCACATCAACAGCATGCATTAGCATGGCTTATGTGGAGAGAGAGAGAACGACCACTTGGTGGTGTATTAGGTATTAATCATATATTATTGTTGATTAATAATTATAACATTTAATTTGCATTTTGTATTCTGTACTAATACATTATCATTAATGTATCTTTTTTTATGAAAATATTCAGCTGATGATATGGGCCTGGGTAAAAATTTAACAATGATCTCTTTAATCGTGGCTACTCCTAATCAAGATTATTTAAAGAGTGATGATGAAACAGAGAGTAATGATGAATGGATTAATCCAAATAAACCTATAAGTATGTAAAGTATATTTGTTTATTAATTGTAATTAAAAGTATTAAGTTTCCAAATATGATTAATTTACGAAATCATGAATTACATATTTTGGTATGTTTTGGTAATAAGAGAGAAAAAGTATCTAATCGTTTAGCAAAATATGATGTTGTAATAACAACATACAATATATTATCCAGTAAGTTTGAAGCCATGTCTACAACATATAAGGTATAATTATGATATACGTGCAATATGATGATATCCATAATTTCATTAAAGCATATTATATTTAAATTGTAATTAATTATTTTTAGATTCATTTGAAAAGAATCATTTTGAATGAAGCACACTGTATAAGAAATCATGACAGTCAAGCATCTCAAGGCATCTCAAGCAGTGTGTGGTCTTTTAGCAAATAAAAGATGGACACGTACCGAAACACCTATACAAAATAAAAAAATGGATTTATATTCTTTGTTAAAATTTTTGAAATGTTCTCCTTTCGATGATATTCGTGTATGGAAACGTTGGGTAAACAATAAAAATGTTGCTGGTCATCAACGATTAGCAACACTTATGAAAAGTCTTATGCTTCGAAGAACAAAACAAGAACTTCAAGCGCAAGGTGCTCTGGAAAGCTTACCTAATAAAAATATCAAAGAACATAGCAAGATTCGATTTAAAAATGCTGCGCTTATACGCCGATATATATATCGATATACAGAACGCTCGACACTCGATCGTCAAAACGAAAAATTCTCGCTTCCGAAGAAAAAATTAGAAAGAGAGAAATAT